CAAATACACGCACACACACACACACACACACACACACACACACACGCACACACACACACACACACACACAAACACACGTGTGCGTGCGGGCGCACATGCACACCTCGTAGCACAGATTGGGGCGGTCCACCGAAGACCTGAACCCCTCGCAGCCCTCTATCCGCAGGATTGCCTTGATGTCTTCGCACACCTGAGTTGCCATGCACGGGTTTGCGGTGGTTTTTTGGGAGGACAGACCAGCCCGCAAACGCTGCCATACATTCGCACGCGGCTGCTTATCGTGACCGCCAAGGCGGTTGGCCGCCCTCAGCCCCTTGGTTCTGTTGTGCGCCCGGCACGTAGGCGAGGCGTGGCTTCAGCGAGGCGCGGGCGGCGCGCCTTCTCGGTGGCGGTGGCGGTGAGCGCGAGGAGGGGCGTGTTGGGGAACAGCTCCTTGAGGACGCAGAGCCGCTTGTAGTCCGGGCGGAAGTCGTTGCCCCACTGGGAGGGCGGTCGTGAGTTTGAATGTGTGGACGCGCGGTTGTGTGGTGAGCGTGACAGCCTGTGTGTGTTTGCGTGTGTGTGTTTGGGGGGTGGACGCATCTGCATTCAAGCTTGCATGATCTCATGTGTGCATAAGCTTAAGGGACGGACCTGACAATGATGTGTTGTGCAGACATGCGTGGCCGAAACTGAGGCTCCAACCAAAAAAGGGACTCACAACAGCCACGCTGTCGCCGTGTGTCTCGCGCACCTTTGACCCACCCACTCACCCGCACCTGCCCCTTCGCGCCCCACCTGGCTGACGCAGTGCGCCTCGTCCACGGCCACCCGCAGCAGCTGCCCCGCTGCGTAGAGCTTCTCCAGCTTTGACATCAGCCTCTTGCTGCCCGCCACCTTCTCGGGGGTCACGTACATCAGCCGCAGGCCGCCGCCTGGATAGCGACGCGTGGGGCGTCATATGTGTGTGTGTGTGTGTGTGTGTGTGTGTGTGTGTGTGTGTGTGTGTGTTTGCGCGCGCACGTGCGTGCGTGCACACGCACGTGTGCTAGTGATTGTGCGTGTAATTGTGATCGCAATTGTGAGTGTGTACCGTACGAGGGTGTGTGCTTGCGCAGGTGTGCGCGTTTGTGGGGCCAGACATAACATGATAAGTGTGGTGTGCGCGGAAAGGTGGGCAGCTGAGTGGCCACCTGGCGACCTCCGAACGCGGGGCAGCTGGGGAGTGCTGCGCTGTGGGGATCGCAGCTCGATTGCACCCAGGAGGCGGCCCATGTGCCGAAAAACTTTGGGGCCTTCAGGCCAGAAGCAGCGGGGCGAGGCGGTCTCATGGCGGGGCCAGGCCGCTGCCTGCTGACCTGGCGCCATCTGCTGGTACAGGGAGGTGACCTCATCCTGCGACGTAGTGACGGGACGGTTTTGGGGTGGTGGGGTTTGGGGGGTTGGGCTGGTGGCGTGTGGCATCATGGGGTGGTGGTGCGGGGCGGGGCAGGCCAGTGAGGTTGTGGTGTCCTGAAATTGTGCACAGCAGAAGATGACTGGAGCCGGGGTGCTGGCGTCGGCTCGCGACTGCCAGAGCGGTGCCGCGGTCGGCCAGCCAGAATTCTGCGGCCCCCCGAGTGCACATGCACATGCACCCTTGATCCCCTAATCACACCTTGGGTGTCAGCGACGTGAGGGACGCTGCGGCGACGCCAATGGCCTGCAGGCCCAGCACCTGGGGAGAGGTGAGATCAGCGCCTTCAAACTAGAGTTTGCTTGGTGCCGGCGACGGGCGGCTCAGCGAGGGTTGCTGCCGGGTCGTTTGAGGTCCGACAATTCAAGTGCCTGAGCCAGCGCCAGCAAGGGGCAAGGGGCGGCTGATCCGCCTAAAGCCACGCGCAGGCGGCTCGGCGGAGGGCGGGGAAGGCGGGCGGCCGATGCGCGGCCACACGGCGGGACCTGCTGCGCATGGCGCCCCTTGACCGCCCGCCTGCGCGGTTGTGCCTAAATAGTGCCCCCTAAATACTGCCCCTCCACCCCCTTTCCCCCACCTGGTCCTGGATGAGGGACAGCAGCGGGCTGATGACCAGCGTGAGGCCCTGACCCACCAGCGCCGGCAGCTGCCCAGAGCCAGGGTTGGGGCGAGACACCAAGGACAGAAACACAAAGCGCGGGTGCAGATCGGTTTTGGGTCGTGCCGCGCGGCCGAAGACCAGGCACAGCTGCCGCGACGGGCGCCGCCGCACGCTTGGCGGCCCCTGTTTGTGGGACCCGCCGCCGGGTCGTGCGCCTGGCACTGGCCCGGAGTCGGCATCGTGGGTTGCATGAACCCCCGCTTTGCACCACCCACTTGGTACGTGAGGGACTTGCCGCCGCCAGCTGGCATCAGGCACAGCACGTCGCGGCCGCGCAGCGTGGCGTTGATAACCTCCCGCTGCAGGGGGCTGAGGGGGTGACCGGGGGATAGGCAGGGGGGGTGGGGCGTGGGGGCGAAATTGGAGGGCGCGCCGGCGGCGGACGCGATGTGCGTGCGTGTGGGGGTGATGAAGGGTGGAGACCGGCGCAGGAAGTGGCGGGGCGAAGGCGCTTCGCGGCGGCCCAGCCCGCCTGGGGCTGGCGGCATGGCTTTGCTGGTGCATCTGAAAGGGAGGCCCGGACAAGGGATAGAGGGGCAGCGACGGTGCCGTGTGTCCCCCAGTGTGTGTGTGTGTGTGTGTGTGTGTGTGTGTGTGTGTTGGGGCGAGGCCTGCCATGCGCGCCTCACCGCCAGCCGTCCAGCCCGAAAACATCGCGCCGCAGCCGCACGACCTGTGGGACCGGGCGGGCACAGGGGCCGAGCGTGAGTGCATCGCATCGCGGGCCATCTGAGCCGTCGCTGGGTCCCACTGTGGCCCTACTACGGTGGCACGTACTGCTAGGAACACAAAAGCACAGCTGCAGGCCAACATAGACCACTGCCCCTGGGCCCGCGGGCAGGCGCACACGTACGAGGGCACGCGCGCGCGCAAACCCACACACACACACACACACACACACACACACACGCGCGCACACACAAATACACACACACATGCACACACAAATACACACGCACACACGCTCACACACAAGTACACACCCCCACATACACACACCGTGAACACGCGCACCTCCTGATCCCACTGGAACGCTGCCGCTGCCCAGTCTGCACGCGGAGCGCGCTTCTCCACAGCCGCCTGCCGCGTGAGCGCTTCCCGCTCCTGCGGGGACCGCGTTGACGCGCCCAAAGCGTTGCATGTTTGCAACACATGTACAGGTGTCACCCAAGACGCAAAGCATGGGACGTCACAGGAATGCAAACACTGACTGTATGTTCCCGCTTGTCGCTCCCGGACTCTTGGGTGCGGCGCGACAGCACAGGTTGAAGTGCAAACAGCATGGGGCAGCTGACACTGCCACCTGCATGCGGGCCCGCAAGCACCTGACGCAGGGCCGCCTGCCGCGCCAGCAGCCGCTCAATCTCTGCCTCTACCTGGAGGCATGCAGGGAGGGAAGAGGGCCATGCAGCCCGTCTGCCCGTGCAGGCCCCCCCAGGAGGGGGTCGCTCATTGTCCTGGCTCACTGGCGGCGCCGAGTGCTGGTAGCACAAATGCGGCAGTGCAGCACGGGGTAAAGCGGGTCAAGCGCTTCAGCAGCACACCTCCTTTATCTCTTGATCAACCACATGCAAACTCCGTAGCTCGGACGCCTCGCCGGTCAGATCAATCGCTTCTTTGTCCGACATCACGTCTGCACATACCGTTGAGTAGGCTGCTACGCGCTCCAAGAGTCGCGCCCAAATGCTGCTGGCCCTGTTGACCCCTTGTGGGGCTGCTCTGCCCGCCTACCGCCGCACTTTCAAAAGCGCCGCAGCCGCCCTCTCAGCTGCCTGGGGCTGGCAGTGCGCATTGAGCTTGCAACACGCATCATATGTTCCTCTGTAGCAGGCTTGGACCTCATAAGTGCTATCAAAGCCTTGATTCGTGATACGGGCGGGCGCGCATGCTCATACGCAGGCGACTCATACTGTCAACCGCTTTAACCGCCCTTATGAGCTCTCAGCTGACGAGTTCTTCACCCACCGTGTTCCGCCAGCCTGCCGCGCTTGAAAAGGAGGCAGTTACAAGAGTGGAAAGCTCACAGATGGCGAGCTGATTAGATTTTGCAGATTGGATATGAAATGGCAGATGGGGGGTAGGAAGATCAAGCCGAGACCGAACATGCTTCGGCCCCGCGGCGAAAAGATATGCAAACTTGAACGCTGCTGTTGTCGCGTTCCTCGTAACGCACGCTGCCGATTGCCAGTGCCAGGAAATCCATGATACTGCATTTTGTGGTCAAAGATCGGGTGTTATTCTAGTGCTGCTGCTCCCACTTCCCCCCTGCTCCGCCTCGCGACGGCACTCAAAAACCTGACCACCACGGGACCATTCACGATCGCCGGTCAATCACACCCAGGCCCGACTAGGACTCATAGCTTCGCTTCGCACGCAGCACGGGCCGCTTCCGCCCCGGGGCCCACGGCATCTTGCCCGAGCCGCCGCTGCCCATGCTGCGCATCGCCACGTCAGCAACCACCGTCGGCGCCGCGCCGCTGCCGCTGCCGCTGCTGCCCTTGCTGTCCTGCGCCGCGGGCAGCGCGGAGGGCGGCGTGGGCGCGGGCGTGGCCGGCGCGGTCGCTGCGCCCGGGCCGGCGGGGGGCGTCGGGACGCTCCCCTCCTGCGCAGCGATCTGGCCAGCCACCCCCAGCCACATGCTGTACGCCTGGCGGTGGCGCCCGCCCGCCGGCAGCGGCGGCGCCTGCTGCTGCGCCCCCGG